CTGAACTACTTAAATTCTCTAGCTGCAGAATATTCTTCCAACTTCTTAACCAAATGTCATGACCACCAGTGATATGCTAGCTTGCTCTCTCGCCTCCCTCGTCCTTTTTCTGCTGGCTGAATGCTGGGGACCAAGCCAGTAAGGGTTTCCTTTCGTTGTCTTTCTTAGCCCAGGTTTTGCCACTGGCAGAGGCAGCAGCATCAACCAGCCCAGTGCCTGGCCACTTGTGGGAGTAGGCTGTGCTTGTACTGTTTACATGCTTCATGAGACTTACCTAGCAGTCAGGGGAGCCTTCAAACTAAAGGGCTGTAGTCTTATTTTTGCTAAAATGGCTTGCAGAAAAACTTAACTCCCTTTCGCTTTTCTCTTCTCTCTCACTTAGTGCTAGAGGGTGCTGCTGAAGAAGAGGCTGAAGAGCCAGACGCTACTATACCTACTACACTAAGTGAGGAGACCAGCAACCAAGGAGAGAGCCACAGTCAATCAGGGGATAAAAATGAAGGTAACTGGTTTGACTAGCTCTGTTTGACAGTGTAAATTAGGGCATTGATTAAGGCTTGTATAAACATTTCTTACCCATCCATACCCCTTATTTGTGTGACGTGTATAAAATACATTGAGCAGAAGCACTGGTGCATACATTTCTTTAGCCATCCCTAACCTTTATGTGTCTGAAAAGTATAAAATAGCTTAGCAGAAGCATGGACACATGAATACTCGACTGCCATTACTTCCAAACTAAGATTTTCTTGGCTCCTAGTAACTTGGCACCACATTACTTAGCCTCAAAAAACCACCTGTTTATAATGCTCAAGCTTATCTTCCAAAGACAGTACTATGCAGAGATCAAATGTTCACAAACATATTCCTCCTTGTTCACCCTCACACCCTGTTGTGTTTCAGTGACTTTCTCACATCACACATTAAGATTTTTTGCTCTCCATCAGAGTTGACAGAGCAATAGACTTACAGGGTGTTCCTGTTTGTTTGGGAGACTTCTTTTTGGGGAATGGAATGTTCAGTTTGAAAGCATTGTCCTTTTCAAACTCATAAAGAGGAAAGTGGAAGGCCTTACCTGTTTGTTTGACATGTCTGTATGTTGAGAAACCAGAAATGAGATTTTAGGTATATTTTGAATTTAGTAGAATCCTCGCTACATACAGAGTGTGATGGAGAAGTCTGAATCTGAACAGCTTTAGATGTGGCATTAATTGTGGATGTAGCACATACGCTTCATGGACTAACACAGCTTCATAGACCAAAAAGAAAAGAAATATACATAAATGCCAGCTGTGGTAGTAAAGAGGCATTTGGGCGGGGCATTTGATGTTTTATTTTGGTTCTCCATATACAGAGCTGGATTAAGCGATGCTATAAGGAGGATCCATTACCCTACGCTGGGTTGCTAATGCCTTAATTGTGCAGTTCTGTTCAAATAAGTGCTTGCTTGAACAATTGTGCTTGCCAGGGCGTGCATTCACCTCTACTGCCCTACTAGTTCATGGTGATCGCAACATACCACGAACAATACCATTTTACAGTGAAGGTGTTTATCACTCTATAAGCCCCATACTGAATTAACGTTGAAAATGAGGATAACGTGCATGTCCTAGGAGAAGGTAATGTACGTCTTGTCTTATGCGTTCCAATACAAGAAACTTCTATTACAAGAATTACAGTTATTATGGGCTGTCACCTGTGCTCCATGATGATCCAGTAGAGTGTGATGCAAATCACAGGCAGCTGAAAATGATGGAGGGGTTTGGGTTGGTTTATTTTTTAGGTGGCCTAGAAAGTCCTATGTGTGTTCTCAATTGCAGAGAAGCAGCTGGAAAGCTTAAGCAGCTACCAGGTATCACCAAGCTCACCAAACAGTTTGGACGGAGCAGACTTGTCCTCCATTGACGCCATGATGTCAGCAGTGATGAATGTGGGGAAGATTGCTGAAAATGGCGGGAGCTCTCAAAATGTCAAATCCCCCTCAAAGTCTCCTGCACCAAATCGGATTGGCAGGAGAAACCAGGTATGTAAACCCAAATGCAGGGCTTGTAAACCCAAAAGGGTGGCAAAAGGGGGACAAATAACTGCATGGGAAGTGGTAAGATATAATTATGTTCTTTGACTGTTTTGCTGCCTTCTTTCTCAACGGGTATTTCTTGCCTCTGTCATTGCTCCTCAGTGTGTATTTTCTGGTGGCTCTCCAGAACATAACTTTAAAAAACTGGAATCGAAGGGGTCTGCTTGCTTGCAGTCACACGTAAAACATTTGAGCATGAGCTCTCATATCATGCAGTGGCAAAGCCACCTAAGAATTGCTGCTTCTTCCCTGCGGCATCCTTTCTTCAGGCTTTTGCATTCACTTCATCTGTTGGGGGACCAGTTATTTCATGAAACGAGAAAAAGAAATTGTTGGAGAGGAGCAGAGCAGTGGGGCCAGAGGCTTGGGTCAGCCATCATGTGGAACCCCTTGTGAGGTGTGTGGCTGTCCCTGGGGAAGATTCAAGTCATGGAAGATTAAATGTGGTACTGAAATGAAACATCCATTAGGACGCTCATTTCACATGCGCATAGTGTAGGTGTCCTTCCTTCCTTGTTAATAAAACTATGAAGAGCTATTGCAGAATGCTTTGTACAAATCTTGCAGAGCAAATACATGTAGCTTTTAGCTTTTTTTTTTTCCATTTACCAGTTGATGGCACTAGTTGATAGCAGTGTTAATCTAAACAAATGAAAGGAGAGAGTTGTGTCAGTTAAAGCTGTGATTATTTATATCCATGTTTCTCTCCCGCTGGGCCAAGCCGCTGCCAATGGAGGTGCTGCAGCCTATCAAGAAATACCCCAAATTCATGTGTCCATTTGATTTTAGAGCTAGCAGTGAAGCATGGAAAATTCGTAAATGAATCAAGATGTAACAGGGACCAGAAAGGTTGAGAGGCATGACTCATGTGATGTTCCTATAGTAGCTTATTAATAGCTTGCCGAGTAGCTGCCCAGTTGACAGACTTATGACTTGTCTTGGATTTTTTTTCTTGGAAGGAGTTAAAAGCCATTAACTATAAATGAACATTCTTAAACGAAGAGCCTGGCAGTATACGAGCAACTGTGTGGGATTGTATTGTCTAACACCTGGCTTCAACGTTTATTTGCAGTGTTCCCACTTAGGGGCTGCCCTAGTTCCTTGATTTCATCGTGTGAAGTGAGGCACTGGAGTTCAGACTAGTTTCAGTAGCAGTGCTGTTACACAGCCGTCCGCCAGTACACCATGTGGTTTGGCTTCAGGGAAGTTTATTAGTGTTAGTGACCTTTATTCCACCTGATATTTCAATGGGCATCGAATCAAAGGAAGCTTGAGAGTAAATGTGACAGGATTAAGAGGGATTCTTACAGTGTAAAAATAAACAAATACATTGAAAACATAGTAAATAGCCTATTTGTTTTTAGGCTGAAAGGTCGTTATCGCCAGAGGGGCAAATAGCTACACTGCTGAGAAAATAGAAGTGAGATGTGAAATATTAAGTGGGTATCAATCTGGTTAGCAAGCTCTAATACAGCGAATTTCCACTTCCAGCATAGCAGAATGAAAGCACTGGATTGTTTCATTGTGTAGCAGAACACAGATCTCAGATTCTGGTCAGAATGTGCCCCTTATTATAATTTGAAGGATAATAACAGTTAGCTAGTTTTCTGGGCCTGACTGCTGTTTCCCATGAGTTGGCAGTGAAACATTTTGCCCTGAACCTTTGTCCCAAAGTCTATGGTTCTCTTTATAATGCTGACTTTATCTTGGCTGTAGTCTACCCATGGTCTAATAAACATGTTCTCACATCAACCTGCATCCACTTTAACTTCTCATTTGCTTTGCTCTCAAAGAAAATAAAAAGTGTGATAAACAGCTTTCTTTCAGCTGGATTAAAACAAACAGACCTAATGCACAACTGCAAAAGCATTTGCCATCAGTTGAATGCAGCGCAGTTGTGCCAGCTTGACTTACTGAAGGGAGAGTAGCTAACAAATTAGCTGCTAATTCTGTCTTCCAGTTCAGGAAGTGTGTTTTCACCAACTTGGCTCCAGTGGGGGAGCTGAGTGTTATGTTTTAAATTTGTGAGTGGGGATGCTTTTTTACAGTAGGGATGCTAATAGCTTTTGGTCTGGATTGGGTCAGTCAACAGCATTCCTGTTGTAGCTACCCTGGATTTGCTTGAGCTGTGTTTTGGTATGCGGCATGTACCCTGTGTGACCATTGGAGAAAGTTTGGGTTTTAGTTAATAATAAACCCCAGGTTCAATACTAATCAGCTCTAGCTGAGCTATAGTGTGTTTCTGATCTTTGCTTCAAGGTGAACCAGTAATTATTTTATCTTCTGTTAATTTGCCGATTTGAAGAGCAGGCAGTCTAGAAAGCAGGCTTTGAAACAATCAAGTGCATTCTATGTAGAACTGCAGCACTTGGTTAAGGGGGGGTGTGTGTGTGCTCACGCATGCAAATAATAAAAGTAGTAGGTTGATAATTTCACAGAAATACCCTGGGGATTAAACACCATCTAAACTGTCAGCACAGCTGCAGGGATTTTCCTCATGGCACAGTGTGTTTGTTCTCTGTCCTGAGCCAACTTTAACAGAGTTGCAGTGCAATTGGAGCTAAACATTACTCTACAGAAAGGTGGCATATAGTAAAACTGAAATTGTATAAGATGGAATGAGTGTGTACAAATTATATGTTAGCATATAAACAGGATGGGGGGCACTGAGATAATGAATTGTAATTTTCTTGGGATGTTCAAACTTGATGATGGCAGCCTTGCTTTCTAATGTTTTGCAAGTAATAGTACATTAGGCCTTGGCCTGTGTGCATGGGCTACAGTGATTATCTTTAGGATGGAGAGCCCTGAAATACGGTTAGAAAAAGTTGTACATGAGAAATGGTAGGGAGGAGTGGGAGAACCTAATTGTTCCAGTCCCAGTCCTTCTAGAAGTGAAGTCACAAGTTTTGTTTGCTTCATGCAAAATGGGAAAATACCTCTTCATCCATGTCCACGTGTGAAAACACAGCGTTGGGTTTTAATAGGAGTCTCTGCAGAATGGTTCCCCAAGTCATGTAGGAGGGGATATTGCTTTTTTGAGGCTTAAAAAATCCTTTCTAGAACACTGTGTCAGCATCTTTCCTCCAGACATGCCAGATAATTTGTCACAGAGACTTGGGTTAGTCATTCTCAGTGTTCACCACAAATGCTTGTGTGTGACAGTCTGGAAATAGTTGCTTCTGAGTTGATGACTTTTGGAATGGCAGAGAGGGAAAAAAGTTGTGAGGAGAGGGGAAATGCGGATATGCATGCATACCCATCAATTCCCTCCCAGCTAAAGAGCTACTACTAAAGAGCTAAAGCTTCCTTTTTTGCTTGTTTTCATGGTTTTACTGATGATACTTAAAATAGCCAGCAAAGAGGTTCAGTAGAACATGTCCTTTTGGCATAATTATTATACTTCCCCATCATTCACGCAGAGATGGTTTTTGTACTCTCTTGTCACCAGAAGTGTAGTTAACAGGCAGTTAACAGGATCTATCTAGCTGGTGAAGGTCTGCACCATTCTACAGAAAGCTGAGGCTTAATTTTCAGCACCTTTTAATATAATGGTATTGGTGCAGAAGCTGTGCCTGGGCTGCTTAGTGAGGTGGTGAAAATACCCTTTATGTCACGCAGTAGCCATCCTTGTGGACAATTCAGGCAAACGCCTTTGGTTCCTGCGAGAGTGCCATTTCATCCTTGGCTGAAAGAGTGGTGGCTTTGCTTGGTGTCTCAAGGGCATACTTAAATCAGGCTGAGCTCTCAGCCGGCTTCATTGTTTGTACTCGTGGTTTGACGATGGTTACTCCTGCTTCTCACCTGGGTGGAGAATAACCGGGTTCATAATGTGTTCATTTTGAGTCACGTACACTCCTGCATTGTCACCTCTTTCTCGCTATGATCTCACCACATCTTGCAAGCTTGTGAAGGGTTGGGCCTGGCTGGTGTGCCTGGATGGGATGCTTCCAGGAGAAACACAGGATGCTAAGGGAAATGGTGCTGGTGATTCAGTAAACGCTGCTCTTCCTTCTGAGTCAGCCATGGAGCAGAACAAACAGCCCCTAGAGAAGGGCACTGAGCTAGTGTCTTGCTGTTGAGATGGGGTGGAAAACCCGAAGTGCCTGAGATTTATGCTTATTAAAGATCTGTTGGGAAGATTAGTGGCATTTGCTCACATATCCTGGCAGTGTTCCAGGGATTACTTTCTGCTCACCTAAATTCCTCCTGACAGTTTGAGCTGGTCACAATAATTGCCTTCACTTCCTGTCCTAAACTGCTACTGCTGAGTATCCGTGTGCTGTTAAAACAGCTGCTGGACTTCTGCAGTAGTTGAAATGGCCCCTATTTATAAATTCAGAAGTTTCTGAAACTTCCATGAGGGGTGTAGCAGGATGATAAACATACACGTGTAAGTTGTTTTGTTAGCAGTAGCAGTAGCCTTTTATACTTACAATGGAGGACATTTTTCCATCCCCAGCAGTACAGATTTGAGTTCTTTTATGTCAATATTCCTCCTGATTTTTTTGTTTTGTTTTGTTCTCAGGAAACAAAAGAAGAGAAGTCTTCCTATACCTGTCCTCTGTGTGAAAAGATTTGCACTACACAGCACCAGCTAACTATGCACATTCGTCAGGTATGCAGAGTACTACCTCTTGATTTCTTACTGTTACTAAGAGTGTTTGGTTTGCCAGGATGCATTTTGCAGTGGTAAAAACCAACTTCATGTGCAAACCAGAAATGCTTTATTGTGTAGTATAACTTTATTGTTTTGCTTTTCTTTTAGCCGTCCCCTTGTATTTTCTATTAAAAAAACCCCCACAACCTGAACCCCAAGGTGGGTACTTCCTTTCCTTCCCCAACACTAACCCCTACCTTAGCTCAAACAAGGACGCATGTCCTGTTCTCTATAGTGTAAGCTATCCCAAGGATCCGGAAAACCACTTCCATCATGAGGCACAAGTCCTATTTTGTTACCTTGTTTGAGTACAGCTCTCCTTGCTGATCATGCAAATGAAGAAGCAGGAAGACACAATTTTTAAATCATCTCAGTGTAGGAGGGGCTCTCAGTCCTTCATAGGGTCTAGCATTTAATTCTGCCTCACAATCTTGATGCACATTTTTGTCAGCTACAGGCCTTTTCTTACTCCTCTTGAAATATATGCATGCCTAATAAGGAGGTTTGGCCTTTTCTGTGTCAGAAATCTGTGAAGAAATCTTCAAGTCTATGAATTCAAGTAAGAAAGAGTGGTGCAATATAGCACAGCAGCTAATGGCCATATTTTGGCTTGTAATACATTCTTCTGGCCATAGAAGTCTGCATGTACACTCAGAAGCAGTTTACTTTTGTTTTCTTCCTACACAGCCAGTTTGAAATTAGTATCTTTAAAGAGTATTTGTTTTTAAGTGTCTGTCTTCTGCCACGAAGTTTGTAATTACTTTCTCTTTCCGTTTTCCCCCTTACACTCACCCATCCCCAAGCCACTGCACAGCTCAAAGTATCCCAAGGTACCATTAGTCTGATGGGTTGTTTCTGAGTCTCTTTCTAGCCTCTTGTGCTGCACACCCAACAGAAATGCATGTGGCAGGCATTGCAGGCTGTATGAAACAGCTGCTCATGCTGGTGCACTGAATAGTTAAAAATGAAGGGTGGGGGTGGAGTTGAGGAGGGAGGGCTGGGGAGGAGAGGTATATGTGAGCACACCTTAATATAAGGTGGTGTGCTGAGTGGCTCTGTAAAGCTGCTTTTTAAATGTTGTCACTAATATTTTACTGGCACTTCAGAAGGGGCATTCAATTGAAAAAAAATCGTTGCTTTCTCTAGCATAACACTGACACTGGAGGGACAGACCATTCCTGCAGCATCTGTGGAAAGTCTCTGAGCTCAGCGAGCTCCCTTGATCGCCACATGCTGGTGCACTCAGGTGAAAGGCCTTATAAATGTTCAGTATGTGGACAGTCCTTCACCACCAATGGAAACATGCACAGGTGAGTGCTGATCATGACCCAGGAGTTTGGAAAGAATTACAGGATAGGGGCTCTCTTGTTTCCTTGGAAGGACTTGCAAGCTAACTAAAGACACTTACTTGGGCAGAAAATGTGGACAGTCTGTGATCTGCAAATATGGCATCACATACACACACACACACATGCACTCTAAGTAAGTTGAGGAAGGAAGTCAGAATTGAGAAAGGTCTTCTAGCTCTCTTCACATATTATCAAGGGTTGCTGCAGATATCCAGAAGCATTGCTTTTGTGGTTTTATTAGTAGTATTACTATTATTTTGACAAATGGGATGCATTTTTCTCAGAGGACAAAAATATATAGCCAAGCTATATAGAAGCTTCTCATTTTGTAGCTTCACAGTCATGGGTGAAAGTGGTTGTACTGGGACATTTGTGATGGTGCTGTGTTTTACATAGTTAGGTATCCAGGTGCCGTCATGAAGAAGATGCCTTTTGGAGTAACTGATCTTGTTTCTAAATACATACATCAGTACTTGCTTGTACTGTAGACAATTTACTGCACTATGGATCTGGGAAATTCTCTGTAACCCAAGTTTCCAAATGTATTTCATGTAGTTTCCTTCATAGGGATGTTGCAATATGTACAGTTGTCAACTGTGGAAACAAAATGTTCAATCACATGGATGTTCCTTCCCATCTCTCACCCCCCCCGATTCAGTAGTCATTTATTTGCATGGGTGGAACACCTTGGAGCTGATTAAGACTTTGAGAATTCCCACATAGCTTTAGTCCCCATATCAAAGAGTTTACAGCCTACAAAGAATCTGCAAGACAGGTGGGGGAAAGGAATATCACTCATAAACAAAACGACAAGAGTGATGGTTCTGTGTGGGAGGGAAGAAATCTTGTTTCCTTGATTATTACCAGTCATTTTCCAAGCAGTGTGTTATAGGTGGAATGAAAAAGGTAATTTCTGTGCCAGTAGGAAAGATAATGTAATGCTGTGCAAGGGAAGCAATAGCTGCTTGCATATTTACCTTTTCTGTATCATACTGTCCCGCTTAAACAGTTACATGAAAACAGAGGAGAAATAGGAGGGAAGGCAGTTTTGGAATTCCTTATTTATTTAACTTTTACTTGATTGGAATTGGGGAGAATCGGAGAGAGAGATGTAAAATGAGAAGGGAAAGACAGAGATGTTCAGAGGAGATACTGGCCTTGGGCACTGAATAAATCACATGTCTGACTCATCTGACCAGAGGTGTTGCAAGCTGCGTTTGCCAGACCGGGTCATTTCTCTGTCTGCCGTGAGCATGGCAGGGTGGCTGCTGAGTTGCAGCTGATGCCGCTGTCAGCATCCAAGGGTGAATTCCAATGGTGGGGCGCTGGGGTAGTCAGACACTTGCGTCCAGGTCCTCAGCCTAGACTGCTTGCTGAAGGACTCCTTGCACGGTTTTTTGGCTTTTTGCTCACTATGCATCTCCTCGTCCTCTCCCAGAAGCAGGAAAGGGCGGCTTCCCCTGCGACTTGACTGCAGGCCTATCAGATGTTGATGTAGTCACCTGCACTTATGTGGGTTTCCCCATACAGCAACTCTTACTGTACTTTAGTAGCAAATTCGCCAGAATGGCCAGGCTCAGTGACTTGCCCAAAAGAAGTAAGTACCTATCAGATCCTTCTGGTGAGAAGATTGTTTGGTTTTAATCTTTTCTCCTAATGAGATGTTGCTTGAAGTTACCAGGATGGAGTGCTGTATTTCCTGTCTGCACTAAGAAGAGCATAAGTTGATGCAGGCGAAATTGTCCTATTCTTTCCGTCTAATAGATTCCTGTCTGCTCTTTAAAAGTCCTCCTTGTGTAGACCCTCACCACAGCAGCTCGGTGAGACATTGAAGAAACCTGTTAGTGACCTTGGTGGCACTGCAGCAAGTGGCCCCAGGCCCCAGATAAGCAAGATCCTGAGCACACTGAAAGGGGCTAGTTTTGCTAGAGGAGGGTTAGGGTTGGCAGGACTGTGCCACCATTTTTTTTGCAATAAATTACCTTTTCCTGTTGCTGTAACAGAATATAATAGTGAATCCTGTTGCTGAAGTGGAAAGCATGAATGTGCAAGTAGGCAGATGAGGATAAACGCAAAGTGAAATGAAATTTGTTATTTGGCGCTATGACACACTCACAAGGAAGACGTTCATATATTGCCCACCAGATACCATCTTCCAAACCAGGTATTTCTAGATGGTGTGAAGTAAATTCTTTCATAGACATCTCAAACTTAGCTGCAGCATTAGGTCCAATGGTGTGCCAGTGCTGTGGCTGAATGCTTCTCACATCACATTCAAAACTGCTTCTGCCTCAAGATCCTGGAGCAAGGACCTGCTTGCCAGGCCCTGCCTTGTGTGCAACTCCTGCAGGCCTTGCTTGTGGTGGTGCCATGTCTGTTCTGTGCCAGTTGGATGATAAGACAAGTCCGTCTTTCTCTGTTTTTGGGCACAGTTCCTTTATTGTTCACTATTTTTGTTCTACAGTATCTCAGCAGTGACATATATGCCCAGACCAGCAAAGAATAAGATTTCTGACATGCTTCTGGTAGCCAGCATGATGGTATCTCTGGAGCATTGCACAGAGTGTGGGGTCAGAGGCAGAAGTTTAGGTTTAGCAGAAAGTTTTGAATGTGCTGGTAAAGAATCAACATACTTTGTGAAGGTCGGGCAGGAGCCCCCCAAGTATTGCTGCATTTCCACCACATACACTTAGTGCATAGGAGAGGAGTGAGAGAGGTTAGTCTGCCACTGTCTAAACAGGGGGAAAGATAAGTAGGCACATGCTAGGCACATCCTCTCTTCTTTTTCTACCCCTCTGCATTGCTTTGGCTCCTGTTTAACTGTCTATACTATTTTTTTTAATCCAGACTTTTAAAAGGTCTTTTAGAGGGAAAAGTGCAATGAAATGGTTTGGCCCAGAGAAATATTGTGCCTCAGGACTGCTTATTGTTGTTCCATTAAAGGGTGAAATTTCTGATGCATTTTTTCACCTCATAGGAGCCAGGTCATTAGACATTCAGCTGAGCGGAAGAGGGAAGGAAACAAGTTTGGTTGCTTTTTTGGGTTAGAAAATACCAATGTTGCTACACACTCTCAAGTGCCCATCATCTCAATTGAAAGTAATTTTTCTCCACTCTTGCTTTATTAATGGAAAAAAAACCCTTCCAGAGTTCTTATTTGTGGCTCTTTTTCATGATGGCAAAACTTTCTTGCAGAAGCCAGATTCTTTGTGGAATGAGAATGCTATTTTCTGCCCATCTCTTCTCTGAGTTAGTCTAGCTGTGCTGGGGTGTTGCACGTACTCTTCACCTGTGAAACTGTTGCTGCCTTTCCAGATTCCCACAGTACATGCAACACTTCATTTGTGACTCATAGCCTCTCACATAAAGTCCAATTTCTTTTTGTTGTGCTCCTTGGCTCCTTGTCAACAAGTCAAGTTGAATGGGCAGACGGGTGGAGGGGGAAGGTTCTCTTGTGCAGCACCATTCAGAAAAAAAGGTTAAAACCTGCTTCCTTTTCTAACCAGGGTGGCTCTTGGCCAGGACTTTCAACAGGGAACCGAGAGCCCAGGGCATCCCAGAATACATCCCTACAGCTGCCAGACTGCTCAGGAGTGGCCTCAGCGTCCTGTGGGGGTAGTTGCAGTTGGAGAGAGTAAAGGTCTTCTCTGGAGAGTGCTCTATGTCCAGAGCAAAAAGCTGATTTTCTCATTCTTCCGAATGCGCCGTCAAGCTAACTGCCTCCATATCAGTGCTGCTTCTACTGTTTGGGGAGGGTTGTTGCAATCTAGCACAGTAATGGGGTATCCATTGGCATCTGGTGTCAGGAACAGGAGTTGCTCAGGAGGAGTAAAGCTGGAGATGATGCTGAATTTTTTACAGAGATTTCTTTTTGTCCAGTACTGGGATGAGCAAGTGTTCTTGGAAACGGCAAATGTTCTCTAGCATCAGGGACTGATTTGGATATTTGGGGGGGCTGTTTTCTTGGGGTTTCGTAGGAATTTGGAGTAAGGAGATCATAGTAATTTTGAGTTCAAGAGGTTCTGTGATGATCAGTACATAAGAAAGTCTGCACTTTAGGATTGCTAATTCTTACACTTTCACAGTAGAGACACAGACATTGTGTGTGGCTTTCTCTCAGTCACAGAAAATTAAAGTTTAATATTCTCAGTTCTCCAGCAGGAGCATAAACTATATGGAAGGAGTGTGTGTGATAGGTTGCAATAACTAAAGGCTTTCTAAAGTTTTTCCATCTGTACTGTCACAGTAGTTCCCCAGGGAGTTTGTCTGCAAATAGTGCCAGCCCCAAGGAGCCTTTTGGGTCTCAAGACTGCCACCAAATAGGAGGATGCAAGCCTCTTACTCCATCTCCACTGCTGCATCTCCTCAAAATGCAGTTAGAGGAGTTAGTTAGGCTGCTGCTGTGGATTTTAGTAGTGGTGGTGGTTTGTAGGTGTTAGCAAGGGACCTTGAGACAGAGAAAAGACTGTGCTTGACTTACTCTGGTGCATTCCAGCAGAACATGAAGCAGGCTTCAGGGGGAAGGGCGATGCCTCCACTTGTTCCAGAAGGGTTTCCTTTGGGGGTAGGAGACTTTGCCAACAGCTCCTTTTCCATTCCTGTGACTGAGGATGGTCTGTGCCTATCACTTTAAAATCACATTTTCTTCCCTGCCAAAGACATGCTCTCCAAGCAACTTGAAAACGTTATAGGATATAAATGCCAAAGGGAGATGAGGAATGACCTTCCTGCCAGTTTCCTGTGGGCAGCTATTAAAGGCCCTGTGGCAAGTCTGAAAAGAGTGAGGGGCTAATATATGTATTTCAGCCACAGTTTCCCCAGTTTGGTAAATGCAGTTGCAGTGCTGATGTTTGCCAGGCTGTCCATATAAGTGAGGTAATGAAAACTATTTCATATGAAACCAAAACATCACAGGCATCAACCTTCTTTCTCCGTTTCTTACCCCATACCTAGCAAAATTC